ATTGCAGCTTACTTTAATATGTGAGCGTAAATTTTACAGTTGTCAGAAAAAAATGTGTTGCTTTAGGTTTTGAACTTTCGTAAATATATATAAAACTCAAGTTTTTAGAATTGAAATTTTAGGTATTTTAGGAAAATTAGAATGAATATTGATCTGTATAAATATATAGATACATAGGAGTATAGATAAATATTGAAGCAATTGTTATTAAAGTTTAAGGTATATATCATTTATTTTTATTTATCTATCTTATTTTATTTAATTTTTAATTTTAAATGTTTACAAATAATTTTAAATATCTTTTCTTTTTTTTTAAATTTAAATTTTATACACATTAATTTAAGCATTAATTTTTTCAACTCAACACTCAAAAATTGGTTTATATGATCAATTAAAATGATTATAGATTGAAAACCACGAGCAATGAAATTTAGACTATAAATGATTGCTTTGCTCTAAAGAAAGTTAAAGCAGCTTCAAATTAATAAGTGAATTAAGAAAGTTTAAGACTGCATTTCCAAATGTGTGCCAAATTCCGGCATAATGCTAATTTGCTTCCGTTTGACTTCTTTCTGATTTCTCTACGTAATTTGTTCATGTATTATGCCAGCCTGTGCTAAAAACTTAACAGGTTTACTGCGCTGTGCTTCCTGCCTGTCGTCTGGTCTATCCCTTGACTGCGAACTGATCGTCGGCTGTCTGCTGTTGGAGTAATCTCTAACAGTTGGCCACTCCTGCGGGCATATCAATGGCACATAATTACGCTCATTATCAACCATTCAACACCTACTCAAAAATGCTCACAGCCAGCACGACCCGCAGACCGACAACAAGAAATCTTCAACAAGGAGCCAGCGGCTCATGAGTTGGCCAACTTTTTGTCGGGTGGCTTCTTGGCCAGACAGCCTCACATAAATTTCTTGACTCCTGCCACTCCTCCTCTTGTCTGCTTTTTGGTTGACTGTGGCTGACAGGCGGTCGAACGGGCTGTTCGCGGTAGCCAGTAAAATTGCTGTGGCAAATTTATGAATATATTCTGCGCTTAACGGCATAAACTGCACCTCAACGGCCGCAACGGCGATGGCAACAGTTGTGGCCAGGTTCAAAAGGTTTTTGGGTTACAAAGATAAATTAGAAATTGCTTTGGCCAGTAGCTGGAGGTGCTAGTTGGCTATCTAATGCACCCAAAGACAGCTTAACTTAGTTGTGAGCAGCTTAAATTACAGCCGAGTGAAAGTGTGCTGTCTAAATAAAGATAAACTTTCCCAAAATATTAAAGATAGCTCATAACTGATGAAAACTTATCCCAAAAACAAATTTAGGTAACTCCTTTCACGTTGCATCTCCTGTTTCTTATATATTCACGTAGCGGGCTGTTGGCTTGAACCTATAAATATTATACTGCTCTGAATTATGGTTGTTAATTTTGTGTTTATTAATATTTTAATTAAAAGAGGGAGAAGCTAAGAAAGTTTATCGGCGGTTCCAGATTCGCTGACTTATAAAATCCTGGTTTTTAAATTAATGCAACAGAGCTTTGGTTCGCAGCTTAAAATATTATAATTTAATAATTTCAAATTGGGAAATTGGTTGCTGGTTCAAAGTTAGTTTCAACTAAAGAAAAAAAAACAAGAAACAAAACAGTCCCGAACAGGCTCGGACACTAAACTAATATTCAGGCAGCCTTTCTCCGGCTAGGCGTGGAATATTTATTTTCTTCCTATCGCCTGCCAATCTGCTTGAAGTATAACAAATAAGCCCAAAGATATCTCAGGCATCTGCCGTAGCCAAGTCAAGGGCCCATGTAAAAGACAAACAGAGAAAAAAAAGCTAACCATAAACGGCGTTGGCAACAAATCGCAAGTATGTGTAAGCCATAATAAAAGCGAAAGAGTTGCAACGCCCGCGGTTCGTATAAGGCAACTGGCAATATCCCAAAATGGTCAGGCCAGAGCTCCAGAGTCATTGGGGCCGTCGTTCCGCCGGGATCCTGCCACGCACTTGGAGTCTGGCTTTTAGAAGCTGCTGCTGCCATGACAAATGCAACTCGAGTGACACATTGTGCGGCAACAAAAGCAACAAACATGCAACGCAAATGCAACTAATGGGCAGCCGGTGGAGTTGCCCCCACTCGAAGGGGGAGCAGCGCGGGTAATAGGGAACTTTTTCATATTTATACAAGCAAATGCCGTCAACGACGCGCTCTATAGTTGGCTGTCCCCCCTCCCAACACACGCCGCAGCTGTGCGGAAATGCTCAGTGACTGGTCTGCGATGGCAAATGCAACTGCAACAGCTACTGCAACTGCTACTGCAACTGCGTGGGCCGTGCCGCACAGGTGAATGCCACCAGAGAGCCAGGAACAGCAGTCAGGCTATTATGAGACACACACACACATTCGCACACACGCTCGCACAGCAAAGGTCAAAGACATTTGGCTTTGCACAACAACAACAACAAAATCTGCACACAGCTACAAATCAAAAATGCGTAATAAAGACGCAAAATTCAATTTGCGCGAAATGCAAACTGAAACAGAAAATGTGGCGCCCCGCGCATCAGCAACTGTCATGCGACACCTGAAACTGAGAGATGCAAAGCTGTAGATACTCTGAATACATGTTGCAGCTAACAAGCTGCGGCTGCTTAAAGAAACTGTCTCATGCAACGGGGGTTGATCTTAAAGTAATGAGCTATAATTGAAAAGAAAGTCGATTTTTTCTTGGTGCTCAATAATAATATAAATATATTATTTTTATTGCCTGAAAATAGGAATGATTTAAAAAAATTGAGAATTTATTATTATAATTTATATATAAATATTTCTCTTAGCGAGGCAAAGACTTTTGCATATTCTGAATAACATCATATAATTTAAGAACTTGTGGAGTTCTTATAATATTCCGCTTTGATTTTCTATAGGTTGAAATTTTCAATGTTTTCCCACTAAATAAAGATCATTCCATTGAAAGCACTTTCGAATAACTAATTTATAAATTAATGTGCACGCTTGCCTTATGTTCTATGTTGAATCTATAAGATACTTAAGCTGCATAAGAGTTTTAAAATATTTACTCTGCTGTTTAGATTTAGTTTTAAATTTCTTTTAAAAAATATAAATTTATCCAAAATTACATATATGTATATAAGTTTCGAGCAACTCTCGCACACATGATGCCCGTGCTGCATGCTGCCTGCTGCCATAGACATATTGTAGGAACTTGTATCTTTTAACATATGCAGACAATCGACATCCTTGCCGAAGCGAATAAAACTCGGCAGACAGCTTTGGCTTTTAACTTGACGACTGTTTGGCAAACAGAGCGCAACATGGCCAAAGATGTTGGCGGAAAAGCGAATCGCAACAATAAAATGCAAATAAAATTATATGAAAAGTAATTTGGAAAAGTCTGAAGAAAAACGGCGTGACAGACGCCTGACGAAAGCAGCTAAAGGCAGCCGAAAGTAGCGGGCTCTTTGTTGTATTTAATTTGCAGTAGCTGAGCAACAGGACCAAAAGGACTCCGCCAAAGGAGCAAAGTCGACGTCAGCGTCAAAGTCAAAGCCAACGCAGCTGCCAACTTCATTTGTCTGCGTTGCGCTTGTCTTCTGTTTTTTATGAGCTGTTTTTTCTCCATTTAATACAATTGTTGCGTACAGCTTTTTCTTTTTTCGTTAGCCTGCCTTATTAATGGCCAACAACAATGTGCCAGGCAGCCATAAGATACAAATGTATCTTTTGGCTCGGGCTTTGTCTGCGCCCCCTGCTAAGCTTTATGAGCGCGACTTATTAAAAGTTTGCGCCAGTCTCTTTTATTACTTTATTTGCGTTTTTAATCAGCGTCTTGAGTAATTGCGAAAAAAAAAATGTAGCTAAGAAGTGGAAAAGCCATTTTCCTTCTTTCTGTGTGCCTGCGTGTGTGTGCGTGTGTGTGTAGGCACTCAAACTGAATTTCATTTATTTGCATAATAATTTTTAATTTTATTTAAAGAGTCGCTAAAAAACTTAAAATCGTATCTTCAAAAATGATATTAAAGGGAAGCTAATTCAAATTTAAGTAGAGTAAAAAACATATTTTTATAAAAAAAAAAAAGAAATTGAAATTTCCAATTTAAATATTCATTAACTTTCTTCTTAAAAACTTTGCCGTAATGCAAAATAAAATCAAGTACAAATGATTTGCATATGATTTTTTTTAATATTTTGAAAATTTATTTCAAAAATTGCCAAGTTTATGTTTTGTAAACATATAGTTTGCTTTTATTTTTGACTTGTTTAAAATTAAGTCCAATTAGTTTTGATTTTTATTAAATAGTTTTATTGCCAATTTGAATGAACTTAAATTACTAATCAAATTTAATTGACTCAATAAAAGCGCCAAATTTGATTTAATTGCACAATTTTGCATTCAAATGACGTCGACGGCTAATCAAGCGATGCGCCTGAAGCCTACTTAGCTACGCTCTTTATGGCGAACGACTGCCAGATACAAAAGTATCTTTTCCCAATGATATGCAAATTTATGGGCACGCTTGTCTTTTATTTAATTCCGCGCAATCGCCTCGTAAAAATGTTGTAAAAATGTGTTTACTGCAATTGCCAAGCGTTTTTTTTTTTTTGTAGTTCTTTGGCAGCAGCAAGAAAAAGGGGTTCGACGGCAACTTCATTAATTTATCAACGTTCAGGGCAGTGTAAAATTATTTTTATGTCGCAGTTTGTATAAATTTTTAATGATAAGTATAAGGCAAAATGTATCTGACAGATACTGTGACCGCAACTCATGCAAATCACGCCCCAGACAAGCTGTAAATGTGTTCTGCGGCCTCAGAGAGCCGCGTGGGCGGCTGCCATAAAAACAAGCCCATAAACCCAAGTGTATTTAGAGGTAGATATGAGCCTGCGGTTCCACAGCATATTGTTTGTTTTTTATGCATTTTTTTAACTTTTATATTTTGCATACCGAATTAATGTTAAGAACTTATTTTTCTGCTCATTACAGACAAATCGCGCCCGCCTATACGAAGGTCAATGGCGGCACGGCCATTCCGCTGCCCGCGACGGTCATGGTCCAGCGTCGCTGCCCCCCGGACAAGGTGCGCCCGCTGCCCCCGACCCCGAATCATACGCCATGTAAGTGAAATAAACTTCAGCTGGTTTGGGAAATTTATTAAAAAATGCTCTTCACAAAAAAAAAGAAGTAAATCAACCCCTGGGCAGGGCTGCACTCCGTTGTTTACCGGGCACAAACAAATTTTTGGGTCCAAAGCCAGGCAAACAACCCCCAGCGGAGCATGCCAATGCACTTAGCACAACGCTAGTCGTTTCTGGCCGGGATTTTGTCGTAAAGGGGTAACAATCTCGACATGGCTCGTGTTCCATTCCCAGCGTGCGCATCATCAAAGCACTCCTGGGTATACATTGGTGGGGCTGTAGTGCTTCGAATGGGGGCGCGTGCTATTCAGAAAACCGCCTCATTGCGCATATTTTGTTGCAGTTGATTTGTTGCCGGTGCGGTACAAACTGTAATTAATGCGTGTGGCGCTGATTTGAGGTCTTACACGGATGCCACGTTAAGCGCCAGCAGCCCGTTGGGAATTTTCCGTAAAAGGAACTTTAACTCGAACTTCAATCTAACCCAGCAAATGAGCTGCTAATTAATCACATAATGAGGAAAAATAACTTTCTAGATTAAGTTGTTAACTATTTTCTACCCAAGTTCGTTTTAATTCAGCTGTGTTGCCCGAGATATTTTATAAGCCAAAAAAATGTTGAAACCCAAAACCTTTATGGCCATAGAAGCACTTACTTTTCGACCGATAGTTCCTATGTGAGCTATATGCTACTGTGGTCTGATGATGATACGATTTTTCCAATATGTGGGAAACATAATGAAACTTGTAAATGGCAGCTATATAATATAGTGGTCCAATCCGTTCGGTTCCAACGTATGAACTGCCTGCATTAGAAAAACGGACCTATGCAAACTTTCAAGAAAGCTTTTAAACTAAGAGACTAGAGACAGACGGACATGGCTATATTAACTCGGCTATTGACGCTGATAAGGAATATATATCTCTTGGGGTGGAAGATGTATCCTTCATCACAAATTTATTATACTTTCTACAAGGGTATTAAAAATGGAGACGCGTTGTTTTGTAGTTCCTACTTCCGTGTTAATACTGTATATGGGATTCTTTTTTTATTTTGTCCTCCCAATTGAAACTCAATTAGGTTACAGTTTACTGTAAATATAATATTGTTGGAAGCATAAAAGTTGGAATATTACTTTAACCATATTTTGACAGGCTTCACTTGATTTTTTGAAGATTTATGTGGCCGTGCGTGAGACCTGCTGTAAATGTGTCAGTAAATCTGCCTGACTGCCTATCCCCCTGTACCCTCCCCTCCCCCCACCCACCATCCAGCACACGCATAGTAATTAATTAAGTTTAATGTCCGCTTGGCCTTTAGCATTGATTTATTGGCTGCGCCTCTGTTCGACAGACATCTTTGAAATGTCAGCTGGCAGGCCCGGCGACAACTTCAAGTGGGCGCCGCTGCGAGGGCAGACAGACAGGAATTAACGAACTCACATTCTGCTTCTTTAACGTATTCTTCATCTTCATTTCGTCCACAGCCATACCGGGTTTGGGCAAGAGCGGCAGCGATTTTAATAGCAGCCGTCCAAACAGTCCGCCCACCAGCAATCACACCATCCAGAGCCTGAAGAGCGGCAACAACAACAGGTAAGTGATGTACCTGTACAGGTTGCCCAAATGAACTGTGACTAATCACTCTCGCTCTCTACCTCTCTCTCAATACTCTTGCAGCCTGCGTCCGCCGAGCGTGAAGAGCAGCCATCAGAGCGGCATTCCGTCGCCGAGCAGCCTGAATGCGCCCACGGCGCCGCAGAAGCACTCGATGCTGGATAAGCTGAAGCTGTTCAACAAGGAGAAGCAACAGAATGCAGCAAATGCAACGGCAGCTGTTGCATCCAATAAAACGCAAATTCAATCGAAGCGCACCTCCTCCTCCTCGGGCTTCAGTTCGGCGCGCTCGGAACGCTCCGACTCCAGCCTGAGCCTCAACGATGGACACAATTCGCAGCTGAAGCCGCCCAGCATTAGTGTCAGCGCACAGAAGAGCCAACAGAAGCACAACACAAAGCAGTCTAAGCTGCTGGCGGCGCAGCAGAAGAAGGATCAAGGCAAACCCAACAAGCTGGACAAGAAGGAGAAGAGTCCGGCCCGTTCGCTGCACAAGGAGGAGCAACAGACGCTCTCGGGCAGTGAATCGCGCAGCTCCACAATGGGACGTGCGGGCAAAAATACGCTGGCACGTGGCAATGCCGAGAAGAATACACTGAAGACGTCTTCCAAAACCTCGCTGCACTCCAAATCCGATTCCAAGTGCTCGCTGAAGAGCCAAAGCCAACAGCAGCAGCAGCAGCAGCAGCAGCTCCTGCACAGTCCCAGCGGCACGGGCCTGCCCAAACCCATTGCGGCCATCAAAGGCACCAGCAAGTTGCCGCAGCTGGGCGTGCCCCATGGCTCCGGTGAGCTGTTTAAGCGTGAATCAAGCGACATATCGAACAATCAGGGCAACATATCGCAGGAGCAGCCGCAGCAATCGGCTGCCAGCCAAGCCACACATATCCTCAAGGGCTTGCCCTCGACACCACCGCCTCCATATTATGCCAATGCGCCGCCTCCGCCGCCGCCGTCATCCTCGGGCAACCACATATCAGCTGTTTACTCTGGCAGCGGATCGGGCTACCTCAGCGAGCCCAGCACGCCGCAGCAGGGCGGCATCTATGGCAGCAGCCGTCTGCCGCCACCGAAATCCGCGCTCAGCGCACCACGCAAACTGGAGTACAATGCGGGTCCGCACATACTCAATGCGGCACAGTCGCCCCGCTTGCCGTTGCAGCGTCCGATGCACAATTCGGCGCCCAATACGCCCACCGGCTCGCCCAGCAAATTTCATACGATACCCTCCAAAATAGTGGGCACCATTTACGAGTCCAAGGAGGAGCAGCTGCCGTCATCTGCAGCCAGCTCCTCCTCCGGCTCCTCGGTGCTGCCCATGCGCCCGCTGCTGCGCGGCTACAATTCGCATGTGACGCTGCCCACGCGTGGAGCACGCGGCGGACAACCGCATCCGCATCAATCGTATCTAGACTTTTGCGAGTCGGACATCGGACAGGGCTACTGCAGCGACGGCGATGCGCTGCGCGTGGGCAGCTCTGCTGCAGCCAGTCGCTATCATGACATCGACAACGGCTATCTGTCCGAGGGCAGCAGCGGCTTGGGCGGCACAGGATCAGCGGGCGGTGTCGCCCATGGCAAACACTTTCTCAGCATGATGCGCGCCAGAACACAGCTACCAACAACCATTGAGGAACGGTAAGTGCACAAGCATCTCTCATTCATATTTTACAAGAATTCCTTATAAAGTGGGCGTAACCAAACAACTTTTATAATTCGCTGAAAATGTTTTTTAAAATCTGTTTTTATAGAAAAACCAAAACAGAAATAGGGAAAATTGGTCTTAAATTATTTCAGCTTTGACGAAGTTATGCTATTACTAGGCGAATCTAACTCTATTGCTTTAATTTTTTGAACAGATAGAAAAATATTTAAAAAATAAATTGTGTGCATATGAAAATTATGTTATTTTGTGCTAATCTGAACTTTCACAATTGATTTAAATCATCAATTAGAGAAATTCTATGACAGCTTTAGGCCCAAAAAGCGCTTTTAAAAGACAATTTAAAAATTCTACCTGCCCGCATTTTTGCCATTTTCCAAAGTTTTTATGACAAGAAAATTGCCCCTCTAAAGTCTGTTTTTATAAGCCATTTTATGCCAATTAGGAATCGATTCTAAATTTTTGCATATCCGATTTTTTGGCCTCCGTGAAATCATTTTTGGAAGAAAATTTAGGAAAGCAGTTATAAGTATTTTTAATTATAGAAAAATTATAATTCACTATTTTAGTTAGTTTTGTGAATTTTTCTAATGAAAAAATGTTAATGGGTAAAGTCTTATTCTCAAAAATTCTTAAATTTTAGATAAAGAATTCAAATAGCATTTAAACGAAGACTAAATTGGTAACTCTCATAAATATCAGCTGAGTTTTGATTTCGTTTGAGGTAGCACAAATTTGTTGTATATATTATGCAATATATATTGCAAAAACTTTTTAATACACATTATACAATTATTTTTCCTGAATTGTTGTGTCCAATATTAATTGTATACGCTTTTATATGCATATTTTTATCCTGATTTTATTATCGATGGATAATTGTGTACAATTTCATGTACATTTCTTATGGTAATAATTGCATTCACGCTTATGGGCATATATTTTTTACTGGGCTGTATTATCCATTATTCATTATTTACACTTGTTTTTTTTTTTTATTATTCACTATTAATTGTATAAACTTTTATATGCATAAGCGTATATTTTGGCGCTCTAATGACCGCACTTTCGTTTCCAGTTATTCAATTAATCCATGAGTCATATCTGTGCAGCTCCTCCACAGCTGACACCAATGAGTCAACGGGCCAATTGCCAGAGTATCGTTTCGTTTGGTCTGGTATCGTTTTGGGTTCCAAGAAGTTTGTCGCCTGTTGTGCGGCGTCTTCGAATGTGGCATGTTGTGTGTGAGAGAGAGTGTGTGTGGTGTGGAGTCCATAAAACGGCACTTAAATGCCAGAGACGCTGCCGCCGGCTTTAGTATTCCCTTTGACTTTAGCTTTAGGCCTGAGTGCATCTGTTTGCCACGCACAATTTGGCCACACTTTTGGTGTCAGGCGCAGCTGGGCATAGCTGTCAGCGGGCAGAGGCGTGGCCGAGGCACTCGGCATTTGAAGCAGTTAATTGTCATGGCAGCCACTTGAGCACCCTAACAACTTCCGCTGGCAGCCTCTTCAAAGCCAAAAGCAAACCCAAAACCGAAACCAGCGCTCAAATTGCCAATTTGCATAAAATCCACTTGATGTTGACTCCAGGCTTCAGCTCGAGGATCAGGTTTTTGAGTTCCTCCTCGGGCGGCTTGTCAAATGTCATTTGCAAATTGTCAACAGCAGCCAAACAGACGACAACTTGACAATTGACAATTGACAATGCTCACCTGTCAAACTGTAAGCCACGCCCCACTTCCTCCCTCCCTCTGCACACTCTCCGCTTATGGATATTGCGATACATATTCACGCAGTTGCATAGCGATGGCTCGAACCGAACCACTTGCCATTTGGCACTTCAGTTAACAAAGGTATCTATGGAGAGTTGCTGTTAACAAGCGAATTGGACGTGTGCACAGAAGCGGCTAAATCTCTGACCCGCCCTTGGGGGGAGGAGTCTTCTGGTCGTATGAGTTATGAGTTTGTGAGATGCTTCTACTACTACATCGAGCAGCTCGAGCTTTAAATATAGCTTAAAATTGTTGATTTTTATAGGGCAGATTAATAAATTGGCACCCAATTTGCGGCAAAGTTTTGCTGTAAAATGAGTTAAATTCAAGAGCAGCTGTCTGATAGTTTCAAATGAAATGTTTAGGTAAAAGCCCTTTTTCACTTAGAGTTTTAAAAAAATTTACATGTAGCTTCTTTTTCAGTTTCGGCACCAAAAATAGCACTACTCAAATATTTCTTTTCCTAGAAAGTACTAGTAGCAGGCAATAAAGAGTTGCTGTTAGATATTATATTTGTACTTTTGTATAAAGAAGAAGAGAAAAAGAGTTGGCCTAGGCAACTAAACAACTAAACAGCAACTTTCCGGGATGGAATCCTAAGATCTAGTTTTTGTATATAAATATAGAAACTCCTTCTTCTTAGTAGCTCAGGGTTTCGTTATATGAATAAAAGAGACTGCCGTGTTTAGTTCCAGGGCCTAAACTGGGGAGGAATTAAGCTCTATAACAACTCACTCTCCCACAAGAGTTTATTAAGAGCTATACGTACTCCAACTAATATAATAATAGCTTGTCTTAAGCTTGACAGGTTTTTTAAGCAGCGACGCCCAATTTGGGGCTGCTAATATGCAACTGTTTCCTATAGGAGCGCAATAAATGCCCCTAATTAAGTTCTGTCCGGTCGCGCTCTATTTGTTAACCATTTGCTTAGCATTAAGAGGCGAGGCAGTTTTGGTAGCTGCCACAACGGAGTGTGCTACAACATAATTTTGTGTGTTTATTAAACACTTGTCAGAGCTAGCTCCCGCCCATATTTCACCACGCGTTTCATTAAAAAGCGCTTATGGGCTTGGTGGGTTGGGCCGGGGGCCAGTGCGCCTTCCACATTTTCATTAGCTTCGGTCCATCAACGCGTTTGATCTGTGAAATTAATGCAATGCCATGAGGCGCTGAAATGGGAGCTCGCTGCGAGTGCTCTATAAATATCCACAGCTGTCGTCGAGTAAAGTGTGGGAGTTGTGGCCTTAGACCTTCCTTCCCCTTCCCATGCCACCTACTCCCTCAACAAGTTCAAACCTGCCCTTGGCTGGCAAACTGTTGACCCTTGATTGTGACTCTTGAGCCATGGTCACGTAATGCAGCTGCAAAATATGTTTAATAATTGAATTTTAATGCACGTCGACAGGCAACTGCGTTCCCCAAACGCGACCCGCGAGAAGCAACCCCCTTGTCGCATTAGCGTCAAGCTGAAGCTAATCAGCTGCGGCGCCGACACCTGCAGGACATAATTTTGAAGCCCAACAAGTGCCCATGTCCAGGCATCTCTTTCTCTCTCCCTCTCTCCCTCTCGCTCTCTGTGCCTCTGCCTCTGCCTTGAGCTGCGGTCGGGTGTCGGGAATGGGTTGCCAGTTGTCTAGCCATAAAAGTAAATCAAAATGCAGCAGGGCGCATATTTCAACAAGCTGGCAACGCAGGCAGACAGTTAGCAGCAGTGTTGCCAGTAAAAAAGTTATTTCTAGCCGAAAAAAAGCCGAATAAGTGTGTCAGTAGCTTGTCGGATAGAAAATGTCTTCTAATGCTTCTAATTGCCAACAAGTCAAAGCTTTGCAATTTGATAGTCTGCTGCTAAGGTTCTGGAAATAGCTAAACAGACAGCCAGTCAGCCATAAATATGCTATTTGGATAGGTTTTCCGCCAACTCAGCCAATAAAAGGAAAATGTTGTCGGGAACCAAGCGCAATTGGCAGCACGAGTCGATCTCTCGTTATTTCTAGGGGCGTTTCAGCAAACGGACTCGTGTGCACACATGGCTTACTGTCTGTCTGTCCGCCTGTCCCTTGGCCTGTCTGCTGCATCCTTGCTCCTTGCGCTCCTTTTATTTAATAACGCATTTTTCAATTCATTTGATTTATGGCTCAGGCGTGAGACGCTGCCATTTCCAATTCCAGCTACTAGATTGCCCTTGCAAATGCAACGCATTTTTCTTCCTCTTTTTTTAAAGCTCGCTTTAAACTAGCCGCATTATCTGCCACACGCTCATCTCACGGCGTTTTATCCGCAGTCCGTAAATTTTGCTGACCGCAACGCGCCGGCAAATTGAAAATAAATTTCGCACCCAACAGACCCGACATAATAAATACAAATTGTTTTTATTAATTTCATCAAATTCAGTGAACCCGTAGGCCCGAAAATTGTGTGCGGTCTGTGTCCACCTGCGGACGCGCCGGTTACCTATTTAAAGGGACTGCCCACTCGAGTGTTCAATGACGTGACCCCAGGGCGGGAGCCCCTTCACTGCCATACGCTTGCAGTTTTCCACATTTTCCTTCTTTTTTTTTATCCTTTGGGCCAGCCCTCTTTTAGTGAAGTGCCAAACTGGGCTCAAATGAAGCGGAAATTTTTGCTGTCGTTTCGGATGGAAGCTGCCTTTCGCTGAAAATTGATTCATTGCGTTTGTCACATTAAAAACATATTCTTTATTTAAGTTGGCAGCCTTTTTAGCTTTGTTGCCGCTCAGTGCTGTTTGAGGACTAAGTGGAACAAGTGGAAAACCTATTGTTTGGATTGAGCAGGGTACAAGTGCAAAAAGGGATTTAAAGTTAAGTGAAACTAAGTATTGTTGGCGTTGACAAAAGCAGCTTAAATAAAGTTTCATTGAAAACGAGCTGGGAAATTACGCAAACATTAAACTAATAAAAAAAGTTGATTACAGTGAAAGCGCCCACGGTGCCATTCCATGCTAAAATATTAAAAATGATTTAGTTAATCATCGACATAGTTTGTTTATAAATTCTTTTTAATTATACTATTTCAATTATTCCAAGAATCCAAATCTTGAAGCTCAAATAAATTTGATACACCCAAAGTGAACAATCACGTTCCTGGAATTTTAGAAATATGTTAAAAATAAATTCTAAATATTCCCGAAATCCTTTACTCTTCCGAAGCGCTCGAAAGCTTTTACATAAAGCCCACTTTAAG